GCAGTATATGGTTCTGGTTTTTGGAAAAAAGTTCACCAGTTGAATGATGGGTCCACGTACGTCTACTATGGCCCTAGAGGGCAATGGTTGCACTACGGCGAATTTAGAAAATTTGTCCACACAGGTTAAAAATGATTTTTTATCTGTGGAGTAAATGTCGATATGCAGCATTTCGCCCGCATAAGATGGGATTGGTGTGACCCCCAACTCCTGCTTCTTGGGGTGTCTGTTGTACTTCGCCTTGGTGCATGTTTTGCAGTTAATGACCACCTCATTAGCGAGCTTAGTCATTTTTGGAAAATAATAATCCTGAAGGACTTGTTTCACATTTTCTTGGGCAGCCCTGTGTGCGCGGTTGTGTTCACAAGTTATAATTTCTGTCTGCTCATTTTTATCTGTGATATCACTCACGAATTTCTTACAATGCCAAAATTTAGTGGCCGGGAATTCCAGCACCAAGGCATGCTGGATGCAAGCTAATGTATGGAGGTCACAGTGAATGGCGTTCACAACATTTACGTTAACAACTTCTTTTACCAACTCGAGCAGTGAGTCTTTATTATTAAAATTTATTATGTGGCGAGTTTTGCTTCCAAAAATTATAAAATTTCGCCGTGAAGGCTGGCATGCTTCTTCAAGAATTATTTGATTCCTGAAGCAGTTCAAAGGTTTATCGGTGGATTCGACCGTGTAGGTCAAGGAGCCTTCGCTGTGCACGGTGGCGACGTCGGATTGGGGTTCAGTTTGTATTGAGGTAATATTTTGTCGGGACAAGGCATCAGCCACAAAATTTTCCTTTCCTGGCTTATAGAACACTTTTGCGTTGTGTTCCTCGATGAATGCCTTCCATCGCTTAATTTTAGCATTAGTGTTTCGCTCAGAGACGGCGAAAGTGAGCGGTTGATGGTCTGTGAAAATTCGAATTTCTTTGGAGCCATACAGGTAATTTTGTAATTTCCCTATAGCCCACACAATCGCCAACAATTCCCTTTCGTTTGTAGCGTAATTGAGCTCGCAGTCTTTTAACGTGCGAGATATCATCGTGATTGGCCGGCCATTTTGGGATAAGACGGCACCGATACCACTTGCTGAAGCGTCGGTAGTCAAGTCGAAAGGCTGTTTAAAATCTGGATACCTTAATATGACCTCTTCTGATGATAAAATGTTTCGCAGGCGTTCAAACGCGCTACGTTGACTCTCATCAAATTCGACCGCGACTTTTTTTGACATATGTTTGCTCACCGAGCCATTCTCTCCCTTGAGTATAGACGTAAGTGGTCTTGCTATAGAAGCGAAGTCTTTGACAAAGCTTCTGTAATAACTGGCCAATCCTAAAAAGGATCTAAGGCTGAACAAGTTTTTCGGTTCAGTGTATTCCTGTATGGTCTTTACCTTTTCAGGGTCCGTTTTGGCTCCGTCTGCTGTGACTATAAAGCCTAAAAATTCCACACTTTCTTTAAAGAATTTGGTTTTTTCTTGCGCCACTCTCATGTTGGCTTCATATAGGCATTTGAGAACTGTGTCGATGTGTCTTACATGGTCGGCAGCGTTTTCGGAAAAAATTATCACGTCATCTACATAAACATAACAAATTTTCCCGATCTGCTCGCGTAACACATCGTCAATCGCTCTTTGGAAAATGCTTCCTGCATTTTTAAGCCCAAAGGGTAGACGGCAGAACTCGTATTTTCCTCCATTTATGGAGAAAGAGGTTTTTTCTCGGTCACATTCGGCCAAGTATATCTGGTGGTATCCCGATTTTAGGTCGAGTGTAGTGAAAAATCTTGCCTTTCCTAAGTTCGCTAGAATCATAGGAATACTTGGCATCGGGTAACGATCAGCAATGGTCCGTTCATTCAGTTTCCTAAAATCAATAACCAATCTTTTTTTCTTGCTGCCGTCGGCCTCAGAGCCTTTTTTGTCAACAACCCATGTTGGGCTGTTGAATGGCGACCTAGAAGGGCGAATGATACCGTCCTTTAGCAGCTGTTTGATTTCTTTATTAACAAACTCAGCCGCTCCCATGGGATATGGGTATAGTTTGGAGTAAACGGGTTCGTCACTTTCCGTGCGAATCCTAGCAACGACCGAGGTGTTAAATGGAAGCGCCTCGTTAGAGCTCGAAAACACTTTACTCCTCTTAATGATCATTTTCCTAAATTCAGCTTTTACTGATTTCGGGACTACTATTTCATCGACATTTGTGAAATTCACACTAGGGCAGTCGAAGAATTTAAGCTGTTCGGTCACGTTTCCGTACCTAATTTCGCCGATACGTAAGTCTAATGCCGCTCCCGACTGCGTTAGCAAATCGAAACCTATAATAGCATCAAACGTACTTAGGCTATCTAGCAAAAAGAAGGGGGCCTTTAGGCCAAATATGTGCATTAAGCATTTGTTTTTTATTTTACTGGAGCCATGTATGGTACTCGCAGAGAATGGGGAGTCGACAGGCATTATGTGTTTGAGCTCCTTTACGGGCTTAACATAATTTTTAGCCGCCCCGGTATCTATTAGAATTTTCATAGTTCTCCCCGCCAACCTTCGCTCGATAAACGGTAAGCGGGACCTTCCTCTAAAAAATTGAGAAGATCGTTTGAGTCAAGTGAGTCGCTGTCCTGCTCTATTACATTCAGTGCGGCTGCGGCCGCGTCTTCGTAGTCCTGGTCTTTTTCAGCAGCTTGCTCAACGTTGTTTATCCGTTGGCGCCTCTGACCAGTCATTCTTTCAGAAGAGTTTGGTCTTTTTGGGTTTTGAGGAGTGGGGGACTGTGTATTATTATTATTATTATTCCCCTTAGATTGTTTGAAACTCGTTGGGTATCTAAGCTTAGAAAGTGATGGGTCTAAATCCATGGGCTCTGGAGCCTGATCTGGTTTACCCCGATCGGTCAAGTTGTCCTGTCTGCGCCAATAATCATTATTCTGGCTTTTATTTTGTTTTTTGAAATAATAGGGATTTTTTTCCTGTTTCTCACGCTGTTGGCCTTTGTGGAAGTCAGTATTCTGATTTCTCTGCTCGACAGCTTTGGCATATGTGGCCGCGAACATACTTCGTTCGATACTAGCCTCTGCCTCCCTAGCTAAAGCCAGTGCTGCTGGCAAATCTTTGGGCTGTGCCGGAAATACGACCGCCCTTAAGGACTTCTTTAGGCCCGAAATAAATACATGCAGGGCGTCACCCCTTACTTCAGTATTGAGCAGTGTGGCTCTTTCTGAGTCGTGAGTCATGACTATTTTGTTTGTCACGAGGGTTAACTTTCGTTCAACCTCATCGTAGTACTCCATTAGAGTTTGGTCCCCTTGACGGACAGATTCAAGCCCTTGCCGTAAGAGGCGCAAGGACGTTTTATCTGCATAAGAGCAGTCTAACCTAGCCAAAATAGCATCAAAATTAAGCACTGTATTGTGCGATACCAGCAGCGCTCGTGCTGGTCCCCTAATCTTATTCCTTATAATTGTAACGGCTTGGTAATGCGCGGTACTGCCAACGTATGGTTTAAATAACTCATAGGCGTCTGTGGCGGACTGTCTCCACGCCACGTATTCATCCTGTACCCCGGTAAAATCTGGGATCGACTTTACTATGTGTAACGGTATGTCACACGGCACCGGTACTGAACTCACAGAAATTCTCTGGTATGTTTCGACTTCTGGCGCCTCTACGCGCAGATTTTGTAGTTGTTGATTAACTGCACTAATTTGGTTTTGGAACTCTGCTCTAAGTCTTTGTTCCTGTTGAGCCAATGCGGCCTGAATCAAAGCTTCTATGTTGGCCGCGTTCATAATGTCTATGTTTTCTTCCAGTATTTGTGGTGGTTGATACCCTTGGGGCTCTCGGTCCCACTCTTCTTCGCTTTCACTTTCAATTTCTCGTTTAATCTCCCTATATGGGCCCTGAAAGCTCATAAGGCTACTCTATTGTCAACATTAAACACTTATGTTATAACATATGGCCGAATATTTGATTCGGCTGATATTAATTTTGGCTTGGGATTTTATATATTTATTATTTTTTGTATTATTAATGTATGTATTTGTGGCCGAGTACTTGATTCGGCAGAAACTGGGCTTTGAATTTTTGAAATATTAATATATATATTTAATATAAATAACCGGGCTTTTGGCGTTAGAACACTACAAAAAAATTTTGTTGTTTGAGGGCGGTAGAGCAAATATTTTTATTTACGAAAAAAATCACACCTGCTAAAGGAAAGCTTAAATGGTTTTCTTTTTGTTTTAGATTTTTGCGTGTTTTATATAATTTATTTAATTTTATTTATTTATTTTTTTACAGTGTATGTATGTGTGTGTTGGTTTTTTCACAATTTGAAGCTGATTAATAAGATCAGACCACTTACATATTTTTTTGTCTAAAATTTCGGGACGTGAATCCTATCGAGTTGGGTGCCAATTATAATTTAGGACGGGTCACCACTCTCTGTCCCTCGCCGCTGTCCGTGAGGGTAAGGGGCTGCTGTCCTACTACAACCGTAGCTGATTCCGGGGGTGGGGGTAAAGGCGCACTTGTCCCCGTGGCTGGTTGTTTTCCTGGGTGAGCCGGGCGGTTGCCACTGGCTCTCTTTCCTCTTCTATTAGGAAGATTATGATGGGAGTAACTGACTCCGTTGCTAACGGCCCTTAAGGCACGATAACCAATTTCAATCAATAAGATAAGTGTTAACGGCCAATGCCGGAGTTTTACATTTAAATGTTCTTTATTCAAAATCAGAACTAAAACTGAACTTATAAGCTGTACGTGGCCGGCGAGCCGACCGCTTTGTCATACCAAAATGCTGACACAAGCAGAAAATGCATAACTCACCACGCCGGGAACCAGGCACGGCCCCTAAAGGCGATTTATGCTTAATCTGCACATAAAGGCAATAGGGTGATCCGAGAACCACCACATATTTGTACCGACTTATAAGTTACTCCTTAACTGTGTTAACTTATAAGTAGGTAGCAGACGCGCCGAAAGTTCACTGTGTTTTAGTTTCAGACGTGAAGTGAACAGAAGTGAATTGAAAGCGAAAACTGAAAATGGCTCGTACCAAGCAAACGGCTCGCAAATCGACTGGTGGCAAGGCGCCACGCAAACAACTGGCTACTAAAGCCGCTCGTAAGAGCGCCCCAGCCACCGGAGGCGTGAAGAAGCCTCATCGCTATCGCCCCGGAACTGTGGCCCTGCGTGAGATCCGCCGCTACCAGAAAAGTACCGAGCTGTTGATCCGCAAACTGCCTTTCCAGCGTCTGGTGCGTGAAATCGCTCAAGACTTCAAGACTGACTTGCGATTCCAGAGCTCGGCGGTGATGGCTCTGCAGGAGGCTAGCGAAGCCTATTTGGTTGGTCTCTTTGAAGACACCAACTTGTGTGCCATTCATGCTAAGCGAGTCACAATTATGCCCAAGGACATTCAGTTGGCCCGTCGCATTCGCGGCGAGCGTGCTTAAGTTGAAACGGCTTCAAGTGGCAGCAATGCGCTTTTATTTGTACAAATCGGTCCTTTTCAGGACCACAAAAAGTACTTAATGAGATTAGATTTTCATTTTTTTTTGTTATTAAAATTTATTGAGTATTTATTTAAATTGTTATTTTAATTATTGAATATTTTAAGGTTTACTTCCTAAAACCTATCGTAAAAATGGATTTCATTTATTTTTTGATAACCAGCCTAAGGAAATGTTTTTTTCAGTCTTAATATTTATCACGGTAAGGTAGCATAGAACAACAACGAACCACCTTGGGCTCTACACACCCTTAAAAACGTCGAAAAACTGTTAAAAAACTTTCTGAAAATAACTCGAAAAAACATCAATAAGCTCTTTATTACTTAAACAAAACAAAAAAATATACAAAAATTATAAATTTTCTATTTAAAGGTGAAATGTTAATTCTTCACTGCAGTAAACAAGATTAGGTTTTGTTGAACAACCACGAACTACCGTGGATCTCGAACATCTTTGAAAAATCAAAAAAAAAATTTTGAAAACCTTCTGAAAAGTTAGTTTGTGAGGAGTTTATTTGTTAAACGAGATTAAAAATGCTAAAAATAAAAAACTAATTTATATTTCATATTAATAGCGACACATAGTGTGTAGTAGCAAGTTGCAACTTCATTGTACTTCAAACACCATTCAAAAATCGAAAAAGGGTAAAAACTTTATAAAATCAGTCAGACAAGTTTATATTCGCTCTATTTGTTACATAAAACATAAAATGCTTTGGAAAATATTAAAATTAAATTTTATATGAAGAACTATAAAGAGAACATTTTTTGAAGTGGCACTATTGGTACACGAAACGTAACAGATTTTAAACATCCTTAAAAAATCGAAAAACTTTTGAAAACCTTAAAGAAAAAATTCAGACATGTTAACGAGTCTTTTATTTATTTAACAAACAAAAACTACAATGGAAACAGTTAAAATATTTTTTTTTTTTATGTTAACTTGACAGTGACCCTAATCATGCCTTTGTATAGGATACAAGGGAAGCCATCTTGGATAAACCGTTTATAATAATGTTTTAAATCAAGTCTGTATTGAAGCATATTCATGATATTTTGAAGATAAAAACAAATACCTTAACAATTTTAAAAGATTTATATTTTTTTAATTCCTAAAACTATTGCCTGACGTATTCTCATAGACTACTTTTTATGTAGCATAAGGTCAAACTAAAACGTGTTATAAAATACCTTAACTTAAGAAATGTGGTTATTTGTGAATTGATTCTTAAAGTTAAAAGTTTAAATTTTCCTTTGTGTTATTTAATATTAATATATTAGAAAGAATTCAAATTAAAAACTATGTTTTTAAATAAAATGCTCATGTTACGTATGTCAATGTTCAAGTTCGAGCTGTAATAAAAATGCACTAAAACTAGACATTACAATTTTTACATTTGTAATTGCTTAATGGAATATTTGGGCATACAATAGAACAAAAACATTAATTGAATTTAAGACCTAAACGAACGAAATAAAAGAAATAAGTTTTTACTTCAAGCAAACATTAGCAGAGCAAATGACTGATTGCATACCCAGAGTTGAAGTGCTCTCCTCCTCGCTTCTCATTCGAACGAAGGAGGTCGGCAACAAACGCGCGCGCCATTTTCGAAGCAAAAAAGTGTATTTTAGTGAAGAAAAATGTCTGATTCTGCAGTTGCGACGTCCGCTTCCCCAGTGGCTGCCCCACCAGCGCCAGTTGAGAAGAAGGTGGCCGCCAAAAAGGCTTCTGGATCCACTGCCGCAAAGGCAAAGAAGGTCGCCGTGCCACCATCTCACCCACCAACACAGCAAATGGTAGACGCCTCTATCAAGAACTTGAAAGAACGTGGCGGCTCGTCTCTTCTTGCAATTAAGAAATATATCACTGCCACTTACAAATGCGATGCCCAGAAACTGGCTCCATTCATCAAAAAGTATTTGAAATCTGCCGTGGTCAACGGAAAACTGATCCAAACAAAAGGAAAAGGTGCGTCTGGTTCATTTAAACTATCGGCCTCCGCCAAAAAGGATCCCAAGCCTAAAGCTACGTCTGCTGAAAAGAAAGTGAAAAGCAAGAAAGTAGTCGCCAAGAAGGCCGGAGCTGGAGCCACCACTAAGAAAGCTGCCGGAGCTGCTGAGAAGAAGCCCAAGGCAAAGAAGGCTGTGGCCACCAAAAAGACCGCCGAGAAAAAGAAAACCGAGAAGGCAAAGGCGAAGGATGCCAAGAAAACGGGAACCGTTAAGGCAAAGCCAGCAGCAGCAGCAAAAGCCAAGTCTACTTCAGCAAAGCCAAAGGCAGCCGCCAAAGCACCAAAAGCCAAGCCGGCGGCTTCTGCCAAGCCCAAAAAGGTGGTGAAGAAGGCAGTTGCTCCCGCTACCGCTAAAAAGCCGAAAGCAAAAACAACGGCAGCCAAGAAATAAACTGCGTACACGCTCCATGTCGCTGTACAGTCGCAATTTCAGATTTCGAAATCTGAGATTCATTTAAACAAGCCCTTTTCAGGGCTACAAACAACTAAGTCTTTAAGAGAAATAATCTTTCAATTCGACATTTTAATGTCATATATTATTAATTGTTTATTGCGTTTTGCTATTGTCTGTTAAATTAAATTTACTGATCTTCGCAGTGAGCACCATAATGTTTATCAACATTATAAGAAAGTCAATAAAATCAGACTTTGGTACTGGCAAAGATTAATCAGATTAGTCTGAAGATCAAATAAAACAAAAGAAAAGTCCAACTTATATTAACATGTTATATATTATCTCCTTGGCAGGAATTGCTGAAAAATTGAATATTGAAAATGTACTTTCTTTGGTAAACATTTTTGTGGCCCTGAAAAGGGCCGTTTTTGATATTTCTTTGCATCCATAGCGAGAGAAAATTACTTGGAGCTGGTGTACTTGGTGACAGCCTTGGTTCCCTCACTGACAGCGTGCTTGGCCAACTCTCCCGGCAGGAGCAAGCGTACGGCCGTTTGAATTTCCCGACTGGTAATGGTCGAGCGCTTGTTGTAGTGAGCCAGGCGAGAAGCCTCGGCAGCAATGCGCTCGAAGATATCATTCACAAAGCTGTTCATGATGCTCATCGCCTTCGACGAAATTCCAGTATCAGGGTGGACCTGCTTCAGGACCTTGTAAATGTAGATGGCGTAGCTCTCCTTCCTCTTACGCTTCTTCTTCTTGTCGTTCTTGGTGATATTCTTCTGGGCCTTGCCAGCCTTCTTGGCTGCCTTTCCACTTGTTTTCGGCGGCATTTTCTCACTTCACAAACACAGTTCACTGGTTATAATGGGAGCCCAGTTCGTGCGTTCGTCTTATACTTTTTTTCGAACAAACTCTTCGGCCCAAGGCACAATCCACCCCTAAACGAACGCGCTGTCGGTCGAAAAAGTATAAATGTCTGGCCGCCAGCTGCCTGGCTCACAAACATTTGTTTCCCGTGTGAAAAGTGAATTTAGTGAGAAGTAAAGCAAAATGTCTGGTCGTGGAAAAGGTGGCAAAGTGAAGGGAAAGGCAAAGTCCCGCTCCAACCGTGCTGGTCTTCAGTTCCCAGTGGGCCGTATTCACCGTCTGCTTCGCAAGGGAAACTATGCCGAGCGTGTTGGTGCCGGCGCTCCAGTTTATCTGGCTGCCGTGATGGAATATCTGGCCGCTGAGGTTCTCGAGTTGGCTGGCAATGCAGCTCGTGACAACAAGAAGACTAGGATCATTCCGCGTCATCTGCAGCTGGCCATCCGCAACGACGAGGAGTTGAACAAACTGCTCTCTGGCGTAACCATTGCACAGGGTGGAGTGTTGCCCAACATCCAAGCTGTTCTGTTGCCCAAAAAGACCGAGAAGAAGGCTTAAAGGTTCTAAAAACGAAGGAGAGCGACTTCGTCATGTACATAACAAAAACCCAACCGTCCTTTTCAGGACGACCAAGTTTTGAACAAAGAATTGTTAAGATTTTCAAATGCATATAGAGATATTATAGAATAAGAATCAGTATTAGATTTCGCCAATATATTTTTTTTAATGTTTTTAACTCCGATTTAAATTGGAATACTTCGTTAACAGTGCCACGTGCAAGGCAAACAAAAAAAAACTGATCCAAGACTCTGTATTGTTAGTAATCGGTAATCATAGTGGAAACTGAACGCATTCGCAGTAGCGTTTAATTAAACATGGCAGTTCCTCAGTACAGTCTGCAAGACACAAAAGCAGCAGCTGCGCAAAATAAAACAGATGTCTGCTTTCAGGCAAAAATAATCAAACATTACATTTAAGAGTGCAGTTTAATATTTCCAGTTTTTTTTTTTGAGCATTGGCTATATTAATATTTAAAAAAATACATTTAACCAATAAAGACAGATATAATTGAAAATTCATCTTCTTTAAAATATGAATTTGTGGTCCTGAAAAGGACCGATTGCTTATTGATGTACAGGCTGCTGTACGATTTGTTTAACCGCCGAAACCGTACAGGGTGCGGCCTTGCCTTTTCAGGGCGTACACAACGTCCATGGCTGTGACCGTCTTCCTCTTGGCGTGTTCGGTGTAGGTAACTGCATCGCGGATAACGTTCTCCAAAAATACCTTTAGAACACCGCGTGTTTCCTCGTAAATAAGTCCAGATATGCGCTTCACTCCGCCACGACGAGCCAAACGGCGGATAGCTGGCTTTGTAATACCCTGGATGTTATCACGCAACACTTTGCGATGACGCTTTGCGCCACCTTTTCCCAAGCCTTTGCCTCCTTTGCCGCGACCAGTCATTTTTCACTACTCTTTACTATTAACACTGCACGAAACGAAAGTCACTGAAGAACTGACTACAATTTCGACGTGCCCCTATTTATACCTAAACCCAAAAAATCAGAGCGGGTCCGAACGACATGTTGTCTTGCTCTTTGCTCGGCAAACGAGACGCCTTGTGTTTCCCTCTCGCTCTTTTGCTCTCTCGATCAGTTCAACCCTCCACGATTTGCTATATAAGTAGGTAGCAGACGCGCCGAAAGTTCACTGTGTTTTAGTTTCAGACGTGAAGTGAACAGAAGTGAATTGAAAGCGAAAACTGAAAATGGCTCGTACCAAGCAAACCGCTCGCAAATCGACTGGTGGCAAGGCGCCACGCAAACAACTGGCTACTAAAGCCGCTCGTAAGAGCGCCCCAGCCACCGGAGGCGTGAAGAAGCCTCATCGCTATCGCCCCGGAACTGTGGCCCTGCGTGAGATCCGCCGCTACCAGAAAAGTACCGAGCTGTTGATCCGCAAACTGCCTTTCCAGCGTCTGGTGCGTGAAATCGCTCAAGACTTCAAGACTGACTTGCGATTCCAGAGCTCGGCGGTGATGGCTCTGCAGGAGGCTAGCGAAGCCTATTTGGTTGGTCTCTTTGAAGACACCAACTTGTGTGCCATTCATGCTAAGCGAGTCACAATTATGCCCAAGGACATTCAGTTGGCCCGTCGCATTCGCGGCGAGCGTGCTTAAGTTGAGACGGCTTCAAGTGGCAGCAATGCGCTTTATTTTGTACAAATCGGTCCTTTTCAGGACCACAAAAAGTACTCAATGAGATTAGATTTTCATTTTTTTTTTTATTATTAAAATTTATTGAATATTTATTTAAATTTTTATTTTAATTATTGAATATTTTAAGGTTTACTTTCTAACACCTATCGTAAAAATGGATTTCATTTTTTTTTGATAACCAGCCCAAGGAAATGTTTTTTTCTGTCTTAATATTTATCACGGTAAGGTAGCATAGAACAACAACGAACCACCTTGGGCTCTACACACCCTTAAAAACATCGAAAAACTGTTAAAAAACTTTCTGAAAATAACTCGAAAAAACATCAATAAGCTCTTTATTACTTAAAAAAAAAAAAACAAAAAAATATACAAAAATTATAAATTTTCTATTTAAAGGTGAAATGTTAATTCTTCACTGCAGTAAACAAGATTAGGTTTTGTTGAACAACCACGAACTACCGTGGATCTCTAACATCTTTGAAAAATCAAAAAAAAAATTTTGAAAACCTTCTGAAAAGTTAGTTTGTGAGGAGTTTATTTGTTAAACGAGATTAAAAATGCTAAAAATAAACTAATTTATATTTCATATTAATAGCGACACATAGTGTGTAGTAGCAAGTTGCAACTTCATTGTACTTCAAACACCATTCAAAAATCGAAAAAGGGTAAAAACTTTATAAAATCAGTCAGACAAGTTTATATTCGCTCTATTTGTTACATAAAACATAAAATGCTTTGGAAAATATTAAAATTAGATTTTATATGAAGAACTATAAAGAGAACATTTTTTGAAGTGGCACTATTGGTACACGAAACGTAACAGATTTTAAACATCCTTAAAAAATCGAAAAACTTTTGAAAACCTTAAAGAAAAAATTCAGACATGTTAACGAGTCTTTTATTTATTTAACAAACAAAAACTACAATGGAAACAGTTAAAATATTTTTTTTTTTTATGTTAACTTGACAGTGACCCTAAACATGCCTTTTTATAGGATACAAGGGAGGCCATCTTGGATAAACCGTTTATAATAATGTTTTAAATCAAGTCTGTATTGAAGCATATTCATGATATATTGAAGATAAAAACAAATACCTTAACAATTTTAAAAGATTTATATTTTTTTAATTTCTAAAACTATTGCCTGACGTATTCGTTGTCTATGAGAAATTTTTATGTAGCATAAGGTCAAACTAAAACGTGTTATAAAATACCTTAACTGAGGAAATGTGGTTATTTGTTAATTGATTCTTAAAGTTAAAAGTTTAAATTTTCCTTTGTGTTATTTAATATTAATATATTAGAAAGAATTCAAATTAAAAACTATGTTTTTAAATAAAATGCTCATGTTACGTATGTCAATGTTCAAGTTCGAGCTGTAATAAAAATGCACTAAAACTAGACATTACAATTTTTACATTTGTAATTGCTTAATGGAATATTTGGGCATACAATAGAACAAAAACATTAATTGAATTTAAGACCTAAACGAACGAAATAAAAGAAATAAGTTTTTACTTCAAGCAAACATTAGCAGAGCAAATGACTGATTGCATACCCAGAGTTGAAGTGCTCTCCTCCTCACTTCTCATTCGAACGAAGGAGGTCGGCAACAAACGCGCGCGCCATTTTCGAAGCAAAAAAGTGTATTTTAGTGAAGAAAAATGTCTGATTCTGCAGTTGCGACGTCCGCTTCCCCAGTGGCTGCCCCACCAGCGCCAGTTGAGAAGAAGGTGGCCGCCAAAAAGGCTTCTGGATCCACTGCCGCAAAGGCAAAGAAGGTCGCCGTGCCACCATCTCACCCACCAACACAGCAAATGGTAGACGCCTCTATCAAGAACTTGAAAGAACGTGGCGGCTCGTCTCTTCTTGCAATTAAGAAATATATCACTGCCACTTACAAATGCGATGCCCAGAAACTGGCTCCATTCATCAAAAAGTATTTGAAATCTGCCGTGGTCAACGGAAAACTGATCCAAACAAAAGGAAAAGGTGCGTCTGGTTCATTTAAACTATCGGCCTCCGCCAAAAAGGATCCCAAGCCTAAAGCTACGTCTGCTGAAAAGAAAGTGAAAAGCAAGAAAGTAGTCGCCAAGAAGGCCGGAGCTGGAGCCACCACTAAGAAAGCTGCCGGAGCTGCTGAGAAGAAGCCCAAGGCAAAGAAGGCTGTGGCCACCAAAAAGACCGCCGAGAAAAAGAAAACCGAGAAGGCAAAGGCGAAGGATGCCAAGAAAACGGGAACCGTTAAGGCAAAGCCAGCAGCAGCAGCAAAAGCCAAGTCTACTTCAGCAAAGCCAAAGGCAGCCGCCAAAGCACCAAAAGCCAAGCCGGCGGCTTCTGCCAAGCCCAAAAAGGTGGTGAAGAAGGCAGTTGCTCCCGCTACCGCTAAAAAGCCGAAAGCAAAAACAACGGCAGCCAAGAAATAAACTGCGTACACGCTCCATGTCGCTGTACAGTCGCAATTTCAGATTTCGAAATCTGAGATTCATTTAAACAAGCCCTTTTCAGGGCTACAAACAACTAAGTATTTAAGAGAAATAATCTTTCAATTCGACATTTTAATGTCATATATTATTAATTGTTTATTGCGTTTTGCTATTGTCTGTTAAATTAAATTTACTGATCTTCGCAGTGAGCACCATAATGTTTATCAACATTATAAGATCAGACTTTGGTACTGGCAAAGATTAATCAGATTAGTCTGAAGATCAAATAAAACAAAAGAAAAGTCCAACTTATATTAACATGTTATATATTATCTCCTTGGCAGGAATTGCTGAAAAATTGAATATTGAAAATGTACTTTCTTTGGTAAACATTTTTGTGGCCCTGAAAAGGGCCGTTTTTGATATTTCTTTGCATCCATAGCGAGAGAAAATTACTTGGAGCTGGTGTACTTGGTGACAGCCTTGGTTCCCTCACTGACAGCGTGCTTGGCCAACTCTCCCGGCAGGAGCAAGCGTACGGCCGTTTGAATTTCCCGACTGGTAATGGTCGAGCGCTTGTTGTAGTGAGCCAGGCGAGAAGCCTCGGCAGCAATGCGCTCGAAGATATCATTCACAAAGCTGTTCATGATGCTCATCGCCTTCGACGAAATTCCAGTATCAGGGTGGACCTGCTTCAGGACCTTGTAAATGTAGATGGCGTAGCTCTCCTTCCTCTTACGCTTCTTCTTCTTGTCGTTCTTGGTGATATTCTTCTGGGCCTTGCCAGCCTTCTTGGCTGCCTTTCCACTTGTTTTCGGCGGCATTTTCTCACTTCACAAACACAGTTCACTGGTTATAATGGGAGCCCAGTTCGTGCGTTCGTCTTATACTTTTTTTCGAACAAACTCTTCGGCCCAAGGCACAATCCACCCCTAAACGAACGCGCTGTCGGTCGAAAAAGTATAAATATCTGGCCGCCAGCTGCCTGGCTCACAAACATTTGTTTCCCGTGTGAAAAGTGAATTTAGTGAGAAGTAAAGCAAAATGTCTG